CCTCACCATGCAGAGCATCAAGGATGTAGGTGATTCCCTTGGCCAGCAGAACAAGWCGATCTCTTGGAGTYTGCTGTAAGGTACTGAACAGGTCTTTTAAGTCTGGGCTTTTAGTTTTCAGCTCATAACCACCCTTTTCCTTGGAAATTGCTTCCATCTGAGGGGAACAAGGAAAAGAAATGTCAGGATCTGAGGGTGAGGTCGCTGCTAGTCCAGAGCAAAGAGATGTGCTGAGTGAGGGAATTTTGGATTGAGAGTGGTGACACAGGATATGTGACTTGTGTGGCAAGAGGTTTGGTCCTGGATGTGTCCATATTTATAAATTATGCTAATAAGACAACTTCCAACCTTCACTTACATTCTGACTGAGCTCTTTACGGAGGTTCATGTCTTTCATGACAGCTTTGATGGTGTTAAAGACTATGAGCAGCAGKTCAGGAGGCAACTTGGAGAAAATCTGACAGTGGTGTTTAACTTCTTCCATGACTGTTCCTAATTTTTCTTGTGAGGGATCTGCAAACCAGAAGGAGACCAAATCGGTCACTTGAGTATTGGGAGTTCACTGGCAGCTCTAAACTCAGCGTTTGAAACACTTGTTTGAGTGTTTTTGAAGCAATATGAAATTTGGGCAGTTTTGATGTCTCAGGGAAGAGTCAAATTCATCCCTCCTGGTGGTTTGTTTTCTGTTAGGAGATTCCGTTTTCCCCAAAGCAGGTAAAAGTTTTGCAAGTGGAAACTGTGGAATACATTACTTACGAGCAATTGCACAAATTGGTGTTCCTGTGGGTTTTGCCAAGAAATAGATCAGATCTGTGACAAGATAAAAAGGACATTTATGGGTTTCTATGCCAGCCTTCCCACTGGYGGTCACCCACCYTGTTTTCTTTCAWGCTCTTTTCTTCTGAGGAGGAAYGGAAAAGAAACAGCCCAAATTKTGCTCCTTGTGCCATTTTACCAACAGGAGCTCTGCAGCTCCTGAAATGTGGAGCTGAGACTTCCTTCTCTCCTTTCTTTACTGACCCCTCCCCAGACAGCATCTTTCCCCTGTRGCTCTTTGACCTTGCCTGGGTTATCTGACCTTTCCCAGGTGATTTCTGCCCCTCACACGGCCTTGTCTGTTTGCAGACAAACTCTGGGGTCGAGTGATACTTCCTAAAATGTTCTTCYTSTTGTGYACTGTTTTTGGAATGTAGGWAYTGGTCATTTCTGGAAGTTACTTACCCCATGCTCCACTTTTAATGTTCACTGGCATGGCCCTGAAGGCCAGGGTGCAGCCCTTGGATACGACCAGGCGTTGTTTGGTCTCCCTTGAAACCTGGTCAAGGAAAACAAGTTGTTAGAACACCTGGGTGCAGGTGTTGGGGAAGGACCAACACCTGAACCTGAGATAAAACCAAACCTTTCCCCATATTAGGGCATAAATCCTGGCCCAAAAGCCCCCTTCTTCCTTGGTGGATTCCACGTAGACACAGTTCTCAGAGGCTTCGAGGATTTCAATGACCACAAATAAATTGCTGCCTGTTCTCAGTAGCTGTTGGATTAAGGAGTGTTCCATGTTGATTTTTCTGAAAGAGAAAAAGGGTGGGAAGGGTTTGGAGCACCAGGGGTAGCTGTGAGATGTTGAGGGTGTCAGCCTGGACAAGAGGAGGCTCAGGGTGGACCTTGTTACACTCTGTCTAACCTGGTCTAGTTAGGGGAATTCTTGGCCTGAGGTCTTATTCTTGGTTTTAGGCTGTTGAAAACCCATTGTTCGTCTGACATGGGCTGGAGGGGGATGACTGGAGTGCGTGTGCTCCCTTTCTTGCTTACCTTTCTTGTCTCACTTCCTCCAGTGATTGCAGTACTACACTCTTCTTATGTGGCGTGACGGACATCCCCTGGCACRAGGAGCCATCTAGTTCCAGCCCTATGCTTGCAGGGTCAAAAGAAATGCTGACACCTCCCTCACCTTTGATAGCATCGGCTGCTGTGATAGTGAATTGAGTAGAATCTTCATGGAGAGGCTCTGAAATAATTCCATACATTATCTTAAACATCTTAGACTCAGCATTGTAAGTATATCACACACAGGAAAACTGAAATGTGGTAGAGCTCAATCACAAATGATACAAACATATTACCTATGGTGTTTGTGAACTTCATATTGATAAATTTGGGCTTTACCTGTGTTTTTACCATCTTTTCCAGGCAGCAGCACATCATCCAGTTTGAATCCTACCTCCTGGTAGTAGGGATCTGGGTGGAATGTGGTGTTTGGTTTGTTTTTTTGAATGAGTAGACAGAGAGGCTTGAAGTGATCATGGTCTGCGGTGCTCTCGACAGGGACCCATTGTTCCCTTGACTCCATTTGACTTACAAGGAATTTGGTGAGTTTTTTAAACATTCTGCTGTGGCTGAAGGTTTGAAGCAAAGCCAAGTGGATTTGTGCCTTGGGAAAGAAGCAACAYAAGTTAAGCCAAGTTCCTTGAAACAATAGCAGGAACGTTGTAACAATAAGGACAGAAACTCTCCCTCATTGTCCCAGGATGAAAGGTTCACGGGGTTGTTACAGGGAGTGTTTAGAGAGGAAGCTGCGGGTTGGGTGTGTGTGTTGGTTGGATTACTCTCTGTTTACTGATGAACCCCAGTTGTTGTGCAGTGAGAACRCAGCTGGCAAATTCTGAGGGTGCTGATTTGGGGGGTAAATGCCACCCAAAACAGAGAGAAATCAATCGAGCCCAGCTCCTTGGGCAGACCCTGGTGATCTGCAGGGGAGAGCTGGGGGTTGAGGGCCAGAAGGAAACACCCATTTCCTGTCAATGCTTGTTTTTTTATCAGAAAGTTTCAGTTTCGTTTCTCTGGTGTTTTACAGGGTGGAACTGAGGAGAAATTGGTCGATCCAGAATGGTTTGGGTTGGAAGGGACCTTAAGGTTTATTAAAAACSCCTCAGTGCCATGGGCAGRGACACCTTCCACTCTCTCAGTTTGCTTCAAGCMCTGTTCAACCTGGCCTTGGACACCTGCAGAGATGGGGAAGCCACAGCTTCTCTGGGCAACATGTACCAGAGCCTGACCACCTTCACAGGGAGGAATTTCTTCCAAATATCCCAACTCTCTTCCTGTGTAAACCATTCCAAAGACAAATAGCCTTATTTGATCAATGTTAGTAGCACTTCCAGGAATCATTCCCTTGGAAGTCTCCAAGAGAGAAAAACCAAACAAGAGCACTTGACAGAGAGCTTCCACCAGCCCTCTCCCACATCCAATGCCCTGGGATAATTCACGTGCCAGTTTTTGGGGGTGTGTGGAGCAGACTGTGGGACTGCTGAGGTGATGTGGCCTCTGGAGAGCAGCAGGACTGGGGAGAAGCTTCTCTTGCTTCCCTTCTGCTCAGAGGTGTAGAAGTGTTTAGTAAAAATGGGAGCTGTGAGTTGCACAGTGTGGTGTTTTAGCTAGGTTCAGTTTTTTAGTGGTGAGGAATGGGACCACAAAAATGGCTCCTGTGAGAAGCTTCTGGAAGTCTTGTTCATCCTGTCCAGCAAAAAGAGCCGTGCCCCCTGTGTTTTAGGGCCAATCTCTGATGACTCTGAGGGTGATGGACAGGCTGCTGCCCAGGCCTGGGCCAATTASAGATACTCATTACATCTCTATGATGACATATGGTCTCATATTTAAGAAGAATTCAAAACAAGTTAGTTTGCAGCTGTYTTAACCATTAGCTAGAGGTGGGGAAGGAGGTAAGGAGATGTAAAAAGAAATGGAGACTYGAAGGTCAGTGGAGAAGGAGGGGGAGGATGATGCTTTGCAAGCAGTGGTGCTGACCACACCATGGGGGAAGCAGGCTGTTCCCATAGTGACTGTCTTCAGTGGGTGACCTGTACAGAGACAGAAGCCCTACACCTGAGATAAACAACCTGGCACTGGAGGACTGGACTGATCATAGCCTGTGGGGGAGAGGTTGTTCCCCCCTYGCCTCCATGGAGCGAGTGGATTCTTTGAAGCAACTGTGTTCTWCCASGAGATTTGAGAGAAYAGTCTTGCYCCYARAATGAAGGCAGCCTGACCTTGGGAGGACTGTTTCCCTTTTTGTGGGCAAGGAATCCCATGCCATCGGCAGGTTAGACAGACTGGCTGTTCCTGGGAAGACCTCACAGTGATACAGAGCAAAAGCAAGGACCTCTCTTGAGCGACTGGAGTAGACCCGTGGTGATGAAGTGACCAGAAAACTCCCACACCCTGCCCCCCTGCGCGTGGGAAGGCGAGAGGGTGGGGAGGGGACTAAGAGAATGGTGTCATAATGATCCATTTTTCTCCTTGGGACCTGCCCCCTTACTTTGTGTTAATTCCTTTCTTCCCTTTCCACAGAAGCATTCTTAGTMGTTTTAATAATAAATCTTTTTTTGCAACTTTTTTTCAGCCTGTTTTGACCATCATGGAGCGTGAAAATCTTTCCTCARCCCGTTATTTTATCTAAAAGCCATAAATCTTTGGGTTAATTAGGGTTTTGTTCTTCCCTCTCTCTCTCCTAGGGGTGGGGAAAAGCATCATGGGTGCCTTAGCGTCCAGCCAGGGTTCAAACCAGGACACACACAAAGCTCACACCACCACACTCCCAGGGCAAAGAATAAATTGATTTTTCTTACCTTGCTAACGGGGGTCTCCCTGAAGCAACTTCTAAACACGGGCAGTGTTAGGCAGGATCCGTGCTGGAGGGTCCCTGCCTACTCTCAGCAGTTATCTGGAGTTTTTCCCAGCTGTGTGGTCACTTCAGCAATTTCACATCCTTCACAATAGTGCTCCGCCTTCAGAAAAAAATCAGTTGCTTGCGTAACTCTTCCTGTTTTGTCACTGAGCAGAGTTACAGTGATTGTGGGGAAATCAAAACTAATACAGATGCAGGAGATCGCTGAAGTCCATCACTGGAAGTGTTCCAGACCAGATGGGACAGGAAGATGTCCCTGCCCCTGGCAGMAGGTGGGACTGGATGCTTTAAGATCCCTTCAAACCAAACCATTCCATCATTGTGTGATTCATTTTTATAGAGCCACATAATGCTGCTCTTCTTTTACCAATTCAGAAATGAACTCAGGAGGGGATATTGGCAAGAAATTCCATCCTGTGARGGTGGTRAGGCCCTGGCAYAGGTTGCCTGGAGAATCTGTGTCTGCCCCATCCCTGGAAGTGTCCAAGGCCAGGCTGGATGKGGCTTGGAGCACCCTGGGCTCCAGGTGCAGTGGAAGGTGTCTCTGTCCATGGCAGGGGGTGGAACTGGATAAGCCTTGAGGTGCCTTCCAACCCAAGCCACTCCATGTTTCCTGGATACAWGGSCWTGCTTGTTTGACAGCARAAGCTATGCATGTGCAGATTCCAGGACTCAAGGGCAAGTTTTTACCTGAATAGTTCACTTTTATTAGTCTCTCTTAGAATACTGTACAAAGGAGTAATAAAAATATTCACACTTTATTTTAGAAAGTTCTCTACATGAGACTCCTGTATCCACAGCAAAAAGAAGGCTACTGGGAAAAATACCCCTAAAACTCTGTACAGAACATTCCTTTAAAAAACCCTCCCAACTAATTCAGCTGATTTAACTGATCCAAGGAGGATACGGATACACCAACACTCGCATGCTTAAAAGATATTCTAGGCAATGATAAAGCAACATAAGTCACAAGAAGGAATATTAATGTGTTAACTCACTGCTGTCCCCTCCTCGAGGGCCAGTACCGAGCTTCTAAAAACAACCCAAAACTGAACAGTGATTCAAACATAAAAGTACTYGAGAATTAAGTAGCCCTCCATCTAGTTTATTTTAAAGGCTTTTTCCTGCAAAGGTCTGGTCTRTTTGCCAGCCTGGCAGCCCTGTGAAACAACTCCCAAGTCAGGATCCCTGATTCAGGAGCATCAGGCTGGGAGGACTTGCTGGTTTTCTGAGTGTCCTGGAGCAGGGACTGGCGTACCYCATGGATACGTGCGTGGTGCTGACAGTGGCTGAGGAGGCTTTGCCCAGTACAAGATGGGACAGGATGCTGCCAGWTCCTGAGAAGAGTTTCAGCCTTTCAAAAGCTTTTATCTTTCATTGCAGAACAAAAGATAAAAGCTTGAAGTACCTTCTTACTTAGGAATTATTTCTCTGTCACAGGAAATTTGATCTCCGCAGTGAGAACGTGCCCTAGTCATGATACAGGACAAGTGTGAGAGGAAATCTGTCAAGCATGGTGTGATSAGAATCCCATGTAAAACCAGTAAGAATCCGTTATCTCCTCCATGCAGGCACCTGGGGAAAACTCCACTCTCCAAGRAGTTCTGCTCACGTGTCATTTCTGCCCCCACCTGATCTGTCCCCTGTCAGGACACATCTGACAACCCCTCAGCCTGCCCATGYTGTCCTTTCACTTCAGGCTGCCTCAGGTACACCCAAGAATTGTGGTTTAATGACAATTAACTTCCTGCCTTTTATTTTTGATTAATCCTGACACCCACCCAGAAGTCGGGACCTTAAGGAAGATTCTACCCAATGTGTAATTGTTCAAATACTTATTAATCATATATAAATACCTAACACACATTAGAACATGAAATCTTTCTTCAACTCACTCCTTTCCGTATTTCTCCTGTCCCCATTTGTTTCCCTTGACAGTTATTCTTATTTCCATAGAATAATCCTAATTTTGGTTATTCTATGGAAAAACACCACACCCATGTTTAAAAGAATGTCATGTTCACATGACTCCTGTGTTGACTGTTTTGATCATTTATGTAAAGGAGAGAAATCAAAACAAGTATACTTTTGTTGCTAGGCAAAACCTTGATTACAGTAAGTTTAGGACTTTAGGCTTTAGAACCTGCTTGTTTGTGAAGTTTATATTCCCATTCCRGGTCCCAGTTGATCTTTAATTTAAGAAAACAGGGTCAGATATCCATAGAATCAATGACCAGCACAAGTAACATGTTCAAACCCACAGCTGTTGTAATGCCTTCAAGGCGACACTGGGARTTGTTGTATCTCATAAAAAAATGCTGATTCCTTTAACTAATAATTGTTCTAAACTTATCAATCTGTGATGTGCATATGCTTAGAAATACCCAGCATATGTCTGTCTCTGAGAAGTCGTGTTTGAAAGCATCTAGAGACTGTTCATGTTGCAAAAAAAAAAGTTTTTCCCCTTGTTTTCTACCAAAATAATTAGTTTTCTTTMCTCTGGAGATGAAAGTTGTGTCTGGGCAGACACTCAGGTCTGTTCATCACCAGAGTCAACATTTCAGGTCYAGCCTCAGCCACCCTGCCAGGATCTGCCCCTCCCTGGAGTGGCCTTTCCCACAGGAATATTGCTCATGTCTGTGTCATTTCCCAACTGATTGATGAAATATCTCTATTTTGATTACAATTATCATTGTCAGTAGCTAAAAGAGCCGATTAGGGTAGAGAGTACCTTAACTAAAGCAGCAGCTCTTGCATCCTGGGGGTTGCATTGAAGGTTTAACCTCCCTGTCAAGGAAATTGCACATCTGTCAACACCCTGGGTCTCCAGCCAGACTCTTTTCTTTTTCTACCTGCTTGAAAACTTCCTTTTCACTTMTATTTCCACTTCTCAAACATATTAGGGAGTGATTCTCACTGCACTCCAGCAGCCCTCTAAGGTACATGGAATATTTTCCCTTCCCTGGAGCAGTCCCATGGAAGTCTGAGAAAGTGAAGCACCTTGCCTAAAATTATGCATGGAGTAGTAACAGATCTSAAATTCCGCTTTCCATATCCTATGCTCAGACCATCCAACAGCTCAACACTCTCCACCACAGCCTCTAAAGCCTGGTTTGCTACTGCAGGAAATAAAACAGTACATTTAAAAGATTTATACCATTGTCAAAAAAGGTGAAACAATGTAAGCACTAAGACAACAAAAACACAGATTTTCATGGGGAAGCATGAGGGGAAACCCATTCCATCTGACACACAACCCAAAAGAAAATCAGGTAATTTTGGGTCTGTCTCAGCCAGGAAACCTAAGATGGCTTTATTTAGGGGGCAATTTTAGGAGGAAAAGGCTCAATTTTGCTCCTCTATGAAAAAATTTGTTTTCAAATTATTATTATTTCCTTCTGCTGATGCTGCTGCTCAYGCAGCCCTTGGGCAGGGAGCTGAGGGACAGATTTCCAGGTAAGCCAGAAATCTAACTCTCATTTCCCCTGAGTYCATGGAGAACTGGCAAATCCCAGTCACATGCACTTAAGCAACCAAGGAGCTGAAGTGAGGAAAAAAATTCCAATGAAATTCAAGGATGGCTGTGTGCTTGATTAGAGCAATCAGCCCTCCTGTGGTACCTGTCCATCATCAGCCTCTCCCACACGTGTCCATGTTCTAAGGAGCTCCATGGCATTTGTTGTCAGTCATTAAATCACCTACCCCAGCCCTTGATCCAAATGCCCACTGAGCCCCTGTGTGTTAAAAGTAGCAGTTTGGGGTGGGGAGTGGAGTTACCTGGGCAGATTTGGGTATAAACTGAAAATAATATGATTTAGGATCTATCCACCTTTTCCCTGGACCACATGGATGGTTCTGTAGGAAACTGAAAGCTTTGTCAAACTGTAGGTTATTCCTTCCTGYGCTGCTTTTAGGAAAAAAAACTTCCCTTCTCAGTGGTGTCAACGACTGCAAATCAAAAYCTTGTCATTCACTTTCCCCTCCCACTCCCCACCTAAAACTGGAAATCAGATCCCAAAACAATCCAGTCMTGGGAAAGTCTGGCTGTATCCCTTTGGATTTCCCCCACATCCTGCTCAAAGCACCCATCTTCAGGAAGGGAAATGTATTTTAAAGTGCATTTACCACAGCAATAGTACCAGCACTAAAAGCTTTTCCCCTCATCCCTATTCTCGTCATTCCATGTCTGGAATAGATGAGACTCTTCCCAGAATTCATCCTTGTTGTACCTCAAAGTCTCAGTGGTTTTGCATCTATTGATGACCCTGGGATAAGAGAAATCCGGTGTCGCGCGTYCTGCTCCGCACTAAACTCTACTCTGGAGCTGGTTTGGATTTATTGGGCACGAGGATCCAGCATGCGGAATGTGTCTGTTGGGATCTGCGTTCAARCAGCCGCTGCAAAACCACATCCCAGTCTGCGTGGGGGGAGGAAACGGGGCTGGAGGGAAGGAATCCCCCCTTTGCCCTGCTCCTCCGCCATCCGCCCCAGCCACGCYGCTCAGTACTTGTTGATCCCAAAGATCCGGACTCCGTGGAACTGAGGCAGTTTGGGGATCAGGACGCTCATGAGGGAGATAGTGTTGATGATGAAGTGTATCCGGTCGTACTTAGTGTAAAAGCTGGTTAGAAAATACCTGAAAAGCAGATGGGAACAGAGGGAGAGGCAGACTGAGCAGTGACATTCCATGTGTTTGTCTCTCAGGACAGAATATAGGATCTGGGACACGAAGCAGCTCGGCCACCCCGGGATACTCACAGCACAATGGGCATGATGGTGAGGAACTTGCGGGAAGCGGTGAACTGCACTCCATAATCCATCTGCTCCCAGTGCGTGAGCAGCCGYGCCTTGCCCTGGTCCGGGGTCTCGAAGGGGGTTCCCTTCACAGTGTGCAGGAAGATGTACATGCTCTGCAGGACACACAGCGTGAGTCACACACATCCCCAAACCCCAAATCCAGGGGAGAGCAGCAGCGAGCTGCACCCCCGCTCCGTTCCACTAGAGGGACGTGATGCTGCTGGAAAACCTGCAGCGGCCCGGGAAGCGGGGAAAGGAGAGTTGGGAAAGGCCGGGGCAGCTCTGCTGCTCCACGTCAGGCCTCTCGCTCGGTTCCTGGGTGTGAGCCAAGGAGCTGCTGGAAAGATTGCAGCCCTGGGATCTCTGGGATCGGGAGATTAGCGCCTGCCTGCTGTGGCACGGTGAACGCTCAGCGAAAACTCCGTGCTGGGAGGAGGTGTGTCACCCCCTGATTACCACGACAAGTCACAGACAAACTGTGTCTGGCTACACCACACCTCCAAAGCACAGCCACTCCTGGCCTTTCAATTCCTTTTTGTCTCCAGAACCTAAAGCTGCTAGGGAAAGAGGATGAGAAGCCAGCAGCTCGTGAGCCGAGTGCTTAGCAGCAGTTTGGGGGTTTGTGGTTGTTTTTATCCCCTGAGCAGCTCCAGTTTGGGCGTTTGTGGAGGTTTTTATCCCTCACCAGTAATAACTTTAGCATGARGGTCCTCAATTCCTGTCATTTTTGTCTCTGGAATATTCCCAGGCTGAGATATTATTTAAAATAAAAGATACAATCAATTGCTCCATCCCTGAAGTTTTTAGTCCCCTGTGCCCAAGGGGACCTATGTGGGGACTTCATCTTTAGAGGGATGAATCAGTTCCTGGACTAATCTTTCACTTTGAGCAGAACAAAATCTGGGGGTTAATTTTGTTTTTTCTTAACTCTGATGAGGCCARTTCAGGTTTTATCAACCCCAGTGATGTCCTGCCATTATCTGGGGCCTGTCACAGACTCCTTTGGAAAGGGGACACAACAAARGACTTGCCCTGCAGGAAATGAATCCGTGTCCTCTCTGAGCAGCCTCACCAGGTGTTGCTGCCTCATCTGTACCTGGGCTGGATTGAAATCCATGACCCAGAGGCACCGGTACAGACTGAAGKCTGGAGGTTGAGCAACTCACCCGGCATCTTTAGAAACACAAAGGAATTGTTTCAACAGGAATCCCAGCAGATTGCTCAGAGGAACAGCTATGCCAGCGCTCCCCGTGTGTGCCCCGGGCCACGCCGCTCCCTTACCAGGTTGTGGATGATGTTGGTGAGAGTCCAGACCACGGGGACGCTGAAGAAGGGGATGCTCAGGAGCACGACGTGCAGCAGCCCGATGCCCAGCACGTAGGACAGCCAGATGCCGCGGCTGTTCATGACTCGGGTGTTGGGGTTCACCTCGCTGTGCGCCGTTCCCACGTTCATCCTGGCTCTGGTGGCTGACGGGAACCCCTGGAACAGAAACACTGAGGTCAGAGCCCGGATCCAAACCGCTCAGCGGGGCTGAGCACCGGCTGGTTGTCAAGCAAACCCAAAATCTGCTGTTGGCTATAAAAATCGCGAGTCGGTTCCCTCCTCTGCCCCTCGTTATTGCCATTCTTGGAGCTGACATCACTAACTCCGGGAGTGGTTGAGATTTGGGAATTATGTGTGGGAAGCTTGTCTGTGACAGAAGCTACTTGTGATTTGAGATGTCTTCCTGGAGCCGAGGTGTTGAGGTTCAATCCCACGATTGCCTGACAAAACTCAAACCAATACTTTTAAGCACTTTTTAATCCTCATCACAGTGCTAATCATGGAAACACACAGCATAGGAAGCTTCCTGCATGTTTATGGAGTCAGCATGCCTTAAACTGGGGAAGGGAACCCAGTATTTGCAGAGGAAAGGCTCTATATCAACAGATCTCCTAATTAATCTAACTAAATTAACAGGGTTCTGCACAGCTCAGGAGGTTTGCTGGTCTCCTGCTCTGGCTCATGTGTTTTGCCTTCGGATTTAAGACTTGCAGAAGGGGAAAAAAAGAGGAACCAAAAAAAAATTTCCCCCCAGGGAAGGAATGAGATCCTTCTTGAGGAATGTAACAAGGGAGAGATAACAGGGCAAAGTGCCTTGGGAGGAAGAGCTGTGGAGGAGGTGGCTCTTCCCCTACCTGGAAAGAACAGCTGCCACGTAGGAGGAGCACAAAGATGGTTTTGTGGACAATGCCAGGAAGGAAAGGAAGCAAAAGAGTGTCACTGTCTCAGAGCAAGTCCTCAGAGTGGTGCCCCTGAGACAGTGAAGGTATCAGGTGGCTCTTTGGACTGTCACGCAGCCAGTGGCAGCAGGTATTGGTCAGCTCCAGGCTGGCTGGGAGCTGGAGAGCTCTGGCTCCCTACTATCAGGGATTACAGGAAACAGCACAAACTAAACCCACTGCAAAGCTGAATGTGTTCACACCAAGATCAGGGAAATTCTTATGTAAAATCATCTCTGTGTCCCGTGGGAGCAGAGTTTGATGATGAGATGATCCAGGTCACCCTCCTTGGCTACAGGACCCCACGGTGAGGGCTGTTTCCTGATGTCTGGCCTCGTGCCTTTGCTGTTGCTTCCCACAGCTGGAAGCCGTGTTGCTGTTSGTTCCAGCTCTCCGGAGGCGAGCCCGAGCCAGATCCAACATCACACTCTCCTCGCTGCCAGCTGTTCCCAGCTCCCTCGCAGAGCTCCGGGCCTGCCTTGTCTCAGGAGCTGGCACCGTCCCCGCTCCTGCCCAGGGCTGGGACTCAGAGCCAGCCCCGATTCCACAGCTCTTGGAATGCTCCAAGTAACTTCCAAACCTCTTCCATCCACACAGGCRGCTGTTGTTGCAGATCCTCATCTCCCTCTATCACGAGGCTCATACCTGGAGGAGGATTTGTTTCCAGGGAAGACACTGCAGGTCTGTGGGGTGCTCACTCCCTTGTTGCTCACCTCCCAGTTCATCAGCTTGTGGATACTCCAGAGAAAAGCCCAGTTTGGTCTGGAAACAGAACTGGGAGCCAGAGTTTACCACTTCACCCCCGGCAGGGAGAGCAGCTCCATCCTAAACCCACTGCAGTTCCCGAGGGCTCTCAGAAGGAAAACTGGGGGTTGAGGTGAAGCATAAATGAGTCAAAAAGAGTCAGATTGTTACAACAACAAAAAMCAAAACCCCCTATGGAATGTGTAAACAGGAGTGCTGAGTGCTAGATGTGGGAAATAGTTCTCCTGGTGATGGGTGAACACTGTCCAGTCCTGGGAGGAGCTGGAGAACATCCAGGGAGAGCAGAGAAAATGAGCAGAGGTGTAGGAAAAACATGACCTGTAAGGACAGCTGGAAGGAAACGGGTTTGTTTAGTCTGGAGGAGGATGGAGACAGGCATGAGGAACTGTTGGATGCTCTGGAGAGAGCTGTGCCTGTGGGATTCCAGCTGTGCAGCAGGAGGAACCMCATGGCTGGGGCTTGGAGTGATGYGGGGGTGCAGGAGGATGGATGTGGRATGGATGCACCCAGAAAGGGATCMATGCTCTTGCTGGAGGCCTTAAAWTCTAGTTTCATCAACAATTAAAAAAACTTCTCTCCAAGAATCTCTCCTGAAGTGATACCGTTACCCAAAGGCCGTGGAAGCTCCCTGCAGCCAGAGGAGCAYGTGGAGGGTGCCGTGGAATTTCCAACCAGGAGTGCAACTTTGAAAAACTAAGGAGCAGCTTGGACTTGGTCTCCTCTGCAGATGAGGGCAGTTGCAGGCCCACAGCTGGGTGGAAAAGGGCCCAACCTGGAAACTGGATGTGAAGCAATTCGCTTTCCTGTGCCTCAGGAAAGGSAAATTGTAAAATTAAGGATTAAAGGGATGGGATGCTGGAACATACGAGAGGTTAATTCATTCTTGCAGGAGACACAGACACACCAAGCACTCACTGCTCCAATGAGGGTGATTCCACGTCTCTGATCTGTCCCTCACCACCTTAAATATTTCACCAGTTCTGCTCTGGCTGTGCAGCCCTTGGCCCAGCTCTCCCAAATTTCAGATTGCACAAGCCTGGCTGAGGGCACATGAGCTTTCAGAGCTCTATCCCTACCCCCACCCCACATCCCATGTTTGCTTTCTATTTCTGCACCACGATTYGTTCACCTGCAGGATTTGTTCACCTGCAGCCCACCATGGGAAGGACTCCAGGCCCCCCTTCCCAGAGCAGCTGCTGCCAGGCTCTCCTCTCCCACTCTTTTTTTGGGACAGAAAAGYTTGAATGTTGCACCAAGGCTGAGGGTGAAGGTCAGGGCTGTGCTGACATTGGACAGTGGCCATCCAAGGAGGGGAAAAGTCGGAGCTGTGGCCAGTGGCAAAGGACACAATGTGGCGGCGGAGCTGGGCCCTCCCTCTGCCTCATCCTTCCTGTCCTGCTCCCTGTCCAGGGCCAGCTCCTTCCTCACGTTTGTCCACAGAGGAGTGACCACCATCTGTTCCCATTCCCTTGCTTAATGCTTGGACTTGATGATCTTAAAGGCCCTTTCCATCCTAAATAAAAGATCCTATGATTTGGCAGTGCTGTCACCCTTCCCCAGGGATTGCAGGATCATGCTCCGATTCTGGCACCCCACTGCAGGATCTTCACTGGGCTGGTGAGGGAAGGAAGGCTCAGGTGCTTATCTTGGTCTGGAGTGTTCCCAGACTGCAGGTGACGATGATCCCACGGATCAYAGATCCCAATCTCTGGCAGCAACAGCTGCCACCTCCCAAACAAATCCTTTAAACCCTTCTGTGCCGATGGCACCGGATGAACCGGAGCACGGAGGACATGTGGGACGCTGGTGAACTGGGCTGTGCTGGGTGAGAGGTGAGACTGGGAACACAGTGCTCCATGTCTGTCCAGCCCGGAGCCGTGTTGGACACATCTGAGCCCCAGCGCTGCCCGGTTCCTCCTCGGGGGCCCGGGGCTGCCAGAGCTCCGGAGGGAACACCGGGAACACAGAGACGAGGACACGCGTGAGCCACCCCGGCTGAGGGTGAGGGTCCTGTCCCCTCGGCCTGTTCTCATGGATTCAACGGGAAATCTTGGACACGAAGAGARGGCCGAGGTTGGGCTCCTCCGGGTGCACGTGGAGTCCCAAAYCCCACTTTCCTCCCCGTTTGCCCGGGACGGGACGGCGCCTCGGGAGGCCGGGGCAGGACTCACTCCCGGCCGGGCTCTGCACAGTGCGACCCCCCCGTTGGGGACCCGCACCACCTAACTGGGACCCCCCACTCCCACCCCGCCGCTTCCCAGCTCCATCCCAGCACCCGCTCCTCTCTTTTGGGGTGTTTTCCTTTCGGGCCGGGCCCACGAGAGGCACCTTCCCCCGGCCCCGCCGCGGAGCTCGGCCGCCGCCGCCCCCGGCGAGGACTGAGCCCCCCGGTCCCGGCCCGAGCCCCCGGCCCGCACTCACCGCTCCCGCCCGCTCCGGCCCGGCTCGGCTCGGCAGAGCCGGCGCTCTCTCCGCCGCGCTCCCGGTGCGCTCCCGGTGCGCTCCCGGCGGCCCCTCGGCCCGCCCCTCCGCGGCACGCCGGGAGCTGTAGTCCGGCAGCACCGGGAGAGGCGGAGCCGCCATGGGAACCGACGGGGGCGGCTCCGGGAAGGGGATCGGGGGCTGCACCGACCCCCGCTCTGCGGACGTGGGGCCCCAGACCCGGCTGGGTGCGTCCAACGTGCCCGGCCAAAGGGTGGGCTGCCCCCTCGCCGCTCTTCCCGGGGGAAAAACGGGGCTGGGGGCACACTGGGGCAGATTTGCGAAGGAGCTGTGKCTGCCCCATCCCTGGAAGTGTTCGAGGCCAGGCTGGACGGGGCTTGGAGCAACCTGGGACACTGGAATGTGTCCCTGCTCATGGCAGGGGGTGGGACTGAATGGTTTTTAAAGTCCTTTCGTACCCAAACTACTCTGTTTCCGTAATACCGTGAAAATCCCGGCAGCAGCCTTGTGCAGCCAGTCCGGGCAGGCCGGCAGCGCTGCAGGACACCCGGCCAAGGTCGGGGCTGGGAGCGAGCGCAGGATTCCAGCGCTGGAGCGCGGGGGGAGACCATCTGGCTCCGCTTTTGTTTGCACAACCATCAAAGCTCATCGCGTGGGGCTGGCACGGCCCACGGGTGCCGCAGCCATCTGTGCAGGGCTCTGTGTGTTCCTGCTGCCGGCTCTTCCAGCAGCGGAGGGGCTTTGGGCTGCAAACCCCCCGCCCGGAGCCGAGCAGAGCCCCCGGCTGTGTGCGGAGCCYGAGCGCGGTGCTCCCGGCTGCCCGCGGCGCACATGTGGTTCTGCCGGTGCCACTCTCAGCCCCCCGCCCTGGCACAGATAGTTCCTCTCGGCACAGCCCACGGTGGGTGTTAGAATTGGCCCAGGGGGTTCACGGCGATGTCGAGGATCCCTGAGTGCCCCTGTTGCCCCCACGCTGGGCTGTGTGTCCTGACCCTGCCTGCTGTGTGTCCATCCGGCCTTGGCTCCGGCCGCTCATCCTGACTGGGCACGGCGARGGCACGGAGCCCCCGCAGGCTGCCAGGGCCGGGGCTGCCTGGGTGTCACATGCTGGCACCGTGCTGCTGGCAGGCCACGGGGTCATTGCCGGAGCCAGAGCTCAGTAGTGTCTGCTTCCAGAGGGCTTTGGGCACGGAGAGACACACACGTGGGTAAAGCCGATAAAAAGCCACCGATCGCCACCCTGCAGAACCGCGCTGTTCCTGGCCRGCTCCTCTGCGGTGCCCTCTTGGCAGGGCGCGGTGCGGGGATGCCGGCGAGCGGAGGCGGGGGATCCCGCGGGATCCGGCCCTGCTTTGCAGGAGATCCACGCACGCACAGCAGGCTCTATTTTTATCCTGCTCCTGCCTGACTGAGCAGCTCCCTGTGCGGTGACATCTAATTTAGCAGCTTCCCCGCACCCCGCTGGCTCCGCACGTGAGGGGGAAGCACAATGCAGCAGCTATTTTTAAACGCCCATAAATATTCATCCCTCTCCGTGATGCAGCAGCCGCCGCTGCCGGTGGAGCGCGGGGGGGACCCGACCAGCTCCCTGGGCTCCCCACACCGCCTTCACCSGCTCAGGGAACACCGGCACCGGGGGCGGGGAGTTCCCGGGGGGGATCCGGCCCCAGGCGCTCACCAGCAGCAGCAGCCGCGTTTTCCCCGTGCTCAGGGGGGCTGTTCCCGTGTGGATTCCTAGGCCTCGCTCGCTCCCAGCCTCTCCCGGTGCTCGGGCCGTGCTCAGCTCCCGCTCTGCCGGCTACCGGTCCTGCTGCCCGGTCGATGTCGATTCTATTTAGCTCCGTGGTGGCAGCGAGAAGCCGGTGCCAGCTATTTTTAGCCATCCTGCGGTGGGAAGGGTCCGCGTGGGTCGTGCTGCACTGCAGATTTTGGGCTGGAGGGTGCCGTGTCCTCCACCTGGGACCCCCGTGGGGTGCAGCCCTGGGACTGTGCCCGGGTCTGTGCCCGCTGCCCGGTGTCCTCACCGCCTCTCCGAGTCCCAGCTCAATGTCCCCATGCCCCTGCCTGTCACCTTGGCCCCTCGGCCCCGTCCCGCGGCGRGTGGCTGTGTCAGCTGCCGCATCCCAACATCCCTGCTGCACTGGGAATGGTGACGGGCAGGACGGGGCTGCTCCGCTCCCCGGCCGAACGGGGAGATGCCAGAGAAGTGCTCAAGAGCTCCAGCTGTGGCTGCCGCCTGCTGCCTGCCAGGCTCCCGGCCGTTTCTCAAGAAAACCCTGCCTGGTGGCTCCAGCATCGGCCCGGGCATCGGGCTTGGCTCTGGCCATGGAAACATTGAAAAGACCTCTAATATCATTGACTCCAACCATTAATCAAGCACTGTCACCTCACCTTCCTCTCTAAACCATGTCCCCAAGTGCCACATCCACACGGTTTTTTAGCATTTCCAGGGTCCCAACCCCAGCAGTGGCCTGGCCCCGGCGGAGCGCGGGGGTTCCCGGGGAGTGTGGGGTTCTCTGGGGAGTATCAGTCTGCAGCCGTGTCCGGCTGCCGTCAGGTTCCCTTTTCCTAATTGAGGAGAGATCCAGACCAGGCGCCTCCTAAACGGTTTGTCCTCCCTCAGCAGCGGTAAAACGCCACTATCCGGGACCGGGCTGTCCCAACGAGGAGATCCCGGGCCGAGGCAGCGGGAGCCGCGTCCCGCCCGGCAGCCCCGGGCCCCGGTAACGGCGGCCGCTCTCCATGGTCCTGAGCCAACCTTGCCGGTGCCCCGGGTCGGCGGGACCCCGAGCCGCGGTGCCCCAGCCCAGAGACCCCCGGACGGGGATCTGGGGAGCTGGGGACCCGCTCCGGCCCCCTGGTTCTCGCCCCGCCCGGTTCCGCCGCCGCGGGTCGGGTTTCCCCGAGTAAACGATGCCGGTGCAGGGMGGGGGGGCGCCTTGACCTCGCCGGGGTGGGAATAGGGGGGTCCTGCTCCCCCCGAAGAGCTGTGGAGAGAACGGGGGGATTCCTGGGGGGTTGCGAGGGCAGAATTGGGGGACGCCGAGGGCCCGGGGGGCCGGGACGGGCAGGGCAGGCTCCCACCGGAGTTCGGCGGGGACGCGGCAGGGCGGAGACCATGGAGTGCCCCGGGACGCTCTGGCACCAGTTGCCCCAGGCTCGGGAGTGCCAGCAGGTCCTCGCTGGGTCTCTCCAGTGTCTTCCCGCCCCTCCCAGTTCTCAGACAGAGAGACCTTGTCCCGCGGGGCGAAGAGCTGGGAAGGCTCCTGGCGCGGGGCCGGGGGTGCTCGGCGCTGCACGGCCCCCCCGGCGGGGCGGGCCGGGGGCGGGGAG